AAACGTGGAATCCGGGCCAAAAACTATTCGCGCCGAAGCTCCGATCAACTCTGAATCAAAAACTGAAGGGTGATATTGCACGCAAATACATGAGGAAGTCACGACGGAAGTACAAATTTGGGCTCAAATGGATTGGCTTTTTGGCAAACACAACTTGGTGCCATCTCTAGAAGGCAATCCTGATTGCAGCACAAGCTTGATGCCAGGCTCCTGTGGAAGATGGATCTCAAGTGGGATTCATGCCAAAGCTTGCTCGAGTTCAAGGTTTGCACTCTAGCTGTCTAGCCGCGTCTAGCCTGTATTTTTGTCTCTCCAAAGTCAATCGGTTGAAGATCTTGGAGGAGTCCTCCAAGTTTTGATTGATGGTTCTCCCTGCCCTTGCGGACTTCAAGCTGAAGCCGGAGGCAAGCTCAACATGAGACTCCAAACTTGGGCGATGCGATGGCAACGACGAAAGCTGACCTTCATAACTCGAATTTGCCGCTTCTTGTGGCGAAAAACATAATTTTCTGCGTGGACATCTTGTTTCCTTCCCACTTGGGTCATCTCGGTCATGAGACCCGTTTGAGTCGAATGGCCTGGTTTCTCTGTGACAAGCAACTGGATGGCGAAGCAAGGAGCGACCGAACGAGCAAGAAGATTTTTTGCGAGGACCGAAACTGACTTGGAACTACCCCGTTTTTTTCACCTAAAACATATGTATTTTCGAATCACGAATCAACCTCCGCGACCTGTCTCTTGCGACCCTCCGGCGGCGCTAGCAAAGGAGCTGGATTTCATAACCTTGTTTGCCCGCCCAAAACTAATGGCGCGGGTGGGAGCTGAAGATTGAAATTGAGTCGGAGCGTGCGCGCTGCACGGGTTTATAAAAATTTGAAATCAAGGTCTATTTGTTTTTCAAAACCAGCATTAGCATTTAATCCAGCAAATCAATAGTTATTGTCGCAAGCGGCGTGACACGATTTCCGCTGCAACGGCGAACGCCGTCAAACCCGAAGGGGTGCGGTGTGCGATGCGTGTTTGTTCTCAGTGTTCATCTGTGTAAGAGGCCGATGACGCCCACAGCTGACCCACAAAATGCTGGGTTTGAGCAAGAAGACCAGCTGACCGTCACTCAAACACAACAAGAGCGAACCATGACGTGCGATCCACGGCTACTCCACAAGCTTGAAAAAGCACAAAGCCTTAATGCAGCACATGGTATCTTCGTGGAAAATTCCAGATGGCGGCTTTGGATATCCTCTGATGTAAGTGAACTACTTGCAACTCAATGGTTTCACAGCACACTCTAGCTGTACCTGATGACTAAGTCACCACACCTCATCACCCCACAAAACACCTCACACGGCAAAAGCTACACTTCAAATGACCTACACACACTCAACGGCAATAAACTGTCCCGATAGACAAGCAAGCAAATTATTCATATTCCACTTCAAGTGATCCCCACCCTGAGAGGCGATTTGGAAGAAGGCAAGGCACATGTATTGACAGATTAGCCTGACAAAGTCGAGGCAGCATGCGGATTGACACGATGTTCTGACGCTTGCTCTCGCATCAAGTCTGGCTTGTGCTCAAAGCTGCGATCTGGAGCTTGCAGCTGTGGTGGCGCTTGCTGAGGTCCTGTAGTGCCCACTAGGATCTGGAGCTTGATGTTGACGTCCGGTAGTGCCCACTGCAGTTGTGAGTTTCTTGTTGCGACCCGGTATTGCCCACTGTGATCTGGCGCTTGCTGTAGGTCCGGGAGTGCACACTGGGATCTGGAGCTTGCTGTTGAGCGATACTGCGTTGTGCTGGGATATATACATTTGTTTGCTGGCAACTATTATATATATATTTTTTTTTACTTATTTATATATTGTTTTCAACTATTATATATATATATGTGTGTGTGTGTGTTTGTTTTCAACTACTTTGTTATACGTATTTATCATTTATATATACAGTATATATATATATACGTAATTCGCGCTCCCGCCTTCTCAAGCAAGAACCAGGATACCCGGCAGTGCTGAGGCTGTGCGATAAAACTCCACCAACACAAGCACGCAGGAATTCGCAAACAAATTTTTGACTGTTTGTGTGTCCTAGCTAGGATGCTTGTTGTTTTCTGCAAGGTCCTTCACATCAAATAATTTGGCGCATGCGTTCCTTTAGTTTCAGCGTTTATTACTCTATCTCCACCCACTTCGGAACCCATCCATGCTCTCAGCAAGTGCCATGACCGCCTGGGTGGCCCTGACCAGAAAAACGATGTCGCATCAAACGAGGTCCAGTAGTGCCCACTGCAATCTGGTACAGTACTTGCAGAGGAGGAGGACGAGGAAACAGGCGGATCCTCTTCTAAAATCTAACAACCCTCACCTGACAGGTGGAAAAAACATCAAAGCACTACGCAGCCTTTTGACATCGCGAACGCTGAAGCAGCACAGGGCTCCGACTGGCCAAGCAGCCCGTCGCCTTGGAGCAAGCAAAGCTTCGAGAAACACAAAAAGAGACCAAAAACTCCAAAAAAGAAACGTCAAAATAAAAATTCCAGAAGTTCCTGTCCATGCATGATTCAAGGCCAACTAAAACGCAATAACATTGTTTCAATGTCACGTGTGCCCCATGGTCCAAAAACAACTTTGCAAACAATTTGCTAACACATCTCGGGTCATGGGTGGCACCGACATTCCCAGCCCTAGAGCAACGCAAATCACTCAACCGTGAAAGCTCCCGGCCTCCAGTAGCGAAGAGCGACTTGAAGGCAAGTACGACAACAAGTCAAGCCAGAAACTGGCTACAAAGTCCACTGGACAGAGCGCTGCTCTTCCGGCATGGAAAAATCATCTTCCTGAAACTGCGATGTAAAGTTGACAAAAGCATAGGAACAAATTTGACGGGATTGGCGCCATGCTCCCAAAGAGAGAATCGCTTCACCTATCTGGGTCTTCTGGGTGTGAGAGGACAAGGGGCGTGTCTGCGGCGCCTGGTTCAGCACATATATCCGTTGAGCCGCACCTCACCTTGCACAGTTCGGCCCTACACAATCGACTCAAAGAAGTCATTGCAGTCGAACAAGATCGCTTCAGCAAGGAACGCACGAGATCACAAGATTCCAGAATGAATGCCGTCTGGCTGTTGGCTTGTGAGACCTTGCAGGTTACAAAGAAGCTGAAGCTTGGACTGGCATGTGACCGACGTTGGTGCAAATGTGCAGTCTGTGTGTGTCTCTTAAACGATTAAGATTGGCCTTGGACTTGGATCCTTGTGCTACACACAGAGGTCAGTCATGTCTACAGCTTCACACTTCTTGAAACTGCTCTTTTTCATCCTGTTTAGGAAATGTCTGTTCAAACCATCCAACGTGCTTAGCACTTTAGCAAGCCATAGGTTCTCCGCGAAAACGATTCAGAGCAAGAACTCTAATGGCATGTGAGCATTCAAGCGTGCGCGTCTGTGGCAGCTCGCTTATGCTCATTTGGTGTGCGCAAATGCACGATTCATGAGGCAAGCAGCTTAATGGCAAGGATGTTCTGATTGGGGATTGGGACAGCGTTGCCATGCCGCACCCCAGCCTCGATCTTCGGCCTGGGTCAATGAGCCCAACACCGCAAAAGATTCACACAACGCAGCTATCCTTCGAGTTAACTTACTATCTAAAAAGTTTTCTCCCCACATACAGGCAAAGCACTCAAACATACCACGTTCCCGCATCTGGGCCACGGTAAGCAGTTCCTGTCACAACCTTAAGCTTGCACTCAATGACCCACTCACGAAACAGAACATCCTTCTTGCCACTGCTCCACAGCTTCTCTAGTAATCTTGTTGCCAGTCGCAAACCGGTTTACAAAGGATACCTTTTTGTTGAATTTGGCAAACCCATTTGGCTTCGTTTAGAGACCCATTTCATACGCTCCAAACCCTCAAGATCGATAATCGAAAGCAACCGTCCAAAGAGTCCAAGGTCTGCAGGATACACATGCAAGCATCCCACCAAAAGGCTTCGTTTTCGGGTGTCCGGCTTCGTTTTCTGAGGAATGTGCAACATCTCACTCCAAATGGACCATTTTATGTAAAAACTTAACGCTAAGGTTTTGGGGGTGGCTCACCTCAGGTAGACTTGTAGCATCCCATGGTGCAACAGCAACACAGAGCCCGCGCTGCAGCCATCTCAAGGACGAATCCCTGGAACCGACCCCTCCGCCTTTCGACGACGCGAACCGCGGCAAGCTGCTGCTCAAGCAAGAGTCGTGCTTGTGGCGGAGCAATGCGAGACGTCGAACGATCTGATGTGGAAACGTCCAATGTGATCTGACTCCCCTGGGACATGGTGTCGTTGGATCGACTTGGTTCTGAATGGTTTGGACCGACCCCTCAAGCCATCCGACCTCACTCACCAGCTGGTGCGAAGACTGGAGGGAGCCGCTCGAAGCTACAGGGAGTTCCCCAACCCCTTGCTTCACTCAAGAGGCTTCTACAAGAAGGCGGCTGCCTTTGTCTTGCGTGCCGTGGTGAAGCACTTGGCTCCCCTGGCACAGGCGGCGGAGCACGACTGAAGATTCAATAGTTTCACGCGACATGCATGGCATTCACAAGCCGCTGCTGTCGACTCTGGAAAGAAGCTTTTCTGCAAGCAGGAGAAGTCTGCGGAGTGTTTCTGAAAACTTCAAAATCTGTGCGGCTCGCTGCTCTGTTTACTTTACAGACTTTACAGAAAAGCCGCGGTTTAGGGAACTGCACGATCAAAGCTTGCTTGAAAAGCCTGCGCTGCAGCCACCATCTCAAAGACCTGTCTTGACACCTTCACTGACCGACAACAAGAAGCCTCCGTCTTGGCCTGTTGCAGCCATTTTGGGTCCTGCGGATATTCTTACAGTCTGGAACCCTCCGCCCTTCAAGCTGACCAGGCGAACCGAAGCATCCAAAAACTGTGCGAGGAACCGCTGCTCAAGCAACAGTCATGCTTGAGGCTGCACAACTGAAGCTTCAATGGTTTCATACTACATGCATGGCATTTACAAGCTGCTGTTGTTGACTCTGGAAGGAAGGTTTTCTGTAAGCAGGAGGGGAAGTCCTTTGAATTGAGCCGCTTTCATGAAGAAATCCCAGCGCCATGCCCTTTTGTCGACCAATCTTTCAAGCTGACCAGGCATACCGCGCCAATCAAAGAATGTCGTGTTTTTGGTGTTGCCACTGGTGCACGTGGTGAAGAGTCCCTCGCAGCAGTACTTCAAGCGGAACAAACATGTGGCTGCCGATAATCTTTCCACAGATTTACAAACGGATACATTGTTGTGACTTCTCTTTTTTCTTAGTAACAAGGCTTCCATCGCAACGTCCAGAACAGAAGCTCGTCAGCCCAAGTTATGCACCAAATATCAATCAGTTGAGCGGTGTGTGTGTGTGTAAAGGGCAGCGACATTATCAGCACAAGCCAATGATTGGCGCTTACCAGCAATTACCTTGTTGAGAATGAAGTTTGGCATACACCATTCCCCACCCCGATGCATTTCACCTAGATGGTCTGGCGGCGCAGGATCAGGCTCACCGACCACCTAGGAACATGTTTTTTTAACTGCAAAGGTAAAAGACGAGGCATTCTAGTGTCATTTGCATCACTCTTTCATATCTGACTGGTGGATGCGACCTCACCTTTGAATATGCTCCTTTTGCTACACCATGTACGCCGCCACTGTGCTCTGGCATTCAAGTCTTCCGTCTAGAACAGTCGGAGGACCTATCTCTGTGACCGCTCGTATGCGCGTTTTGCATCTCACCATACTTCACAACTCAGGCCAAACAAGCTGAAGACTCCGTATGGGTTTTATCAATGCTCCCAAGCTTCGAACACGCTACAGATGCACAGAAGACTTCATCGTTCCACTGACTTGAACATTCATCCCAAGTTACTGCAGGTTGGTGGTGACCATGGTGTGGAACTCTTGAGCCCAGGTCAAGCTTTAAAGTTATTCAATGACCAGTGCAGCTGACAAGCTCAAGGGGGTTCTCCGCTGCTAGCACCTTCTTCCCAGTATGCGAGATGGTTATGCTACAGGCATCAACCCTGGGAGTACGAACATCCACAAGGCAGGGAAGTTCCATGCGACAAAAATTATGCACTCAGAAAGCTCTCCTAAATCCGGTCATGCTCATAACGGGCAGACTCTGCTTGCAGCTCAAGCTCAAATGCGTGAACCCGGTGCAATCAGCAGGTGTGTTCAGAAAGTCTTTCGATCACAAGGTCTTTCATGTGCATGCTCTATGGATGTGGCAAGATCCAGCCAAATGATCTGTTTCTTGCGTGTCAACACAAATGTTGACTCTTTTGCCCAACAACCAATATCCAGAGTTCTGAAGCCACATACTCTTCGTTCCTGCCCCGGTCGAAGAAAGTTAGTTCGGTCCCATTTTTGAAACATCTGGCTCGAAGTATTCAATCATTGAAGCCTGCGCAGAAGACGTTTTACAAAACAAATCTTCCATCAGGAACATAAAGCATTGTCCTTTATCGTCAAAAGCTCCGCAGCCGTCCAGGTGGAATTATCCCCTTTTGGAAAGCGGGACAGTGTGTCCTTCACAGCTTCCTTCCCTCCTCTTCGGCTCTGGGAATAGGTATGAGAAAAGTACTGAATTACTCTGCCCAGGAACTAGAGTATGAATCTTCCGTATGTCATGCAATCTTGCCAAGTGCTCCTGAGGCTTCTGAGGCTTGTGTTTTTGGTGATTAAGGCTTAAGGGGCTTAAGGCTGTGCTTGCTGAGGGGGGTGTCCTGAACTGGCGACTTGTACAGAAAACTTCGCAAACCATTCATTGGTGAGTTTGTGGGTGGCCTTGCATGGGTGCAACGCCCAAGAAGTAACGGTGCATACTTCAGAGTGACGCCACCCACTCTGCAGTTGCAAGGAAACACTCCCCACGGGTTCCAGGCACTTCAATGTCTGCAGAATGCTCCAAACAACATGAATCTGAGTTCAACACGGTGCAACACGTACTACACAACACTGCTTCAGAAACATGTTGACAAATTACGTCATTCAAATGACTTGACACGTGACGACGTACATCTTCATTCTGTGATGTGTGCCTTGCTTTTCCTCTGTCAGCACGGGCATGCTTCATGTGTGCACAAATGCAGCTCCCGCTTCATCATCGGTCTTCATCATCTTTCAGTAGGCATACCCTGGCAACAAAGAAGCTCTATGGTGACTATGGTAGATGACCTATCTAGGGTCCATGGTGACTATGGTGTCCATTGCGAAGATTGTCTGATCTACTTATCTGGTCAGTGACACTTAATAAACAACTCATACTTTGGACTCTGAAAACAAATTGGGGTCTTAGAAAACAACGACAGCACCCAGCAATCGTAGGTTTCACGAGCCAATTTCACTTTGGATCGGCCAAATGACTACAACCTGCTGTCGAAGTCTGTTGTATGCTCCTGGAGAGTTTGGTGCAAATTCTCTGTTGCTCCTCCGCAGTTTTATGACCCAGTGTGATGAAAAGTTCCTTTTCACGCGCTCAAACAATCAAAGGCTTTTCTGGACTCTGACAAATCCAGTCGAGTTTTAGTGTGGGAGGGGCCGAAATGAATCCAATTGCGCAAGCAAGGCAACCCAACAGCGGGAATCAGCACCTGAGACAGCAAAAGAATTGGGATCGGACCCAGTAACTAAAGGAAACGAAAAGGACGCTAAACAAAAGCAACGCAGAGCTCGGAGAAAGCAGCTTTGCAAAACGATGCATTGATGAGCAAAGCTTGGCACAACGTATCTCATGGAAATGCTGAATGAATACTCTAGATCAAATCCACACTTGCACATTCAGTGCTGGACGTTCCACTCTGAAGAGGGGGCTTTGCAAGATGGAGGGCAGCGCCAAACACATTCAAAGTGATCGCACGGAGTTCTGATTCAATTAGCCGACACGGTTTCGAACCTCGTCAGCGTTCACAGCTGGAGACCTCTGGCTCTGAGTGGCCAGCAATGTGCTGATGGCACACTAAGAATTCAGCTCTGCAAAATCTAAACGGCAAAAGCCCTTTCTTAAGAACCACCGAACTATTTCGCACTATTCTCGAAAATGGGCACCGAAGCCGCTCAAGCATGTTGAAAGGAATGGTCTTGCTCTTTTGCACAACCTGCGCTGTTCCTGCTGCCGTGTTCCGTGACATGCTGTTGATCATATACATGTCCTGCGCTCTATTCGTGGCTTGCTCTGACCCCTTCTTCGTTCTGGGTTGTACCTCACCCCTTGTTCAACAAAGGCAACAACCGTTCCTCTGGTGTGTTGTGGTGTCAAACTGACACACTTTAAATAATTGGGTTTCATAACGACAGGCACTGACTGGATGTCTTGTGTAAACCTTCTGTCGACAAAATCATGCCTGGGGTGAGTAGCCTAGCCTGTACAAGTCGACCATCTGTTTCACCCAGTTGGAAATGGCGCAGATCTACGGTGGCGTTTGATGCGTGCCAGGATGTCTCAGTTGGGCTGTCTGTTGCTTTGCCAGATCTTTTTCTGGGGTTTGCCTCGAACCTCCAGGAAAGTCTTGTCTGCGGCATCTTTTGGACGCTTTGCTTCTTTTGAGCCGCTTCGAAGATCAACTTCTGCAACGATATGTTTGTTTGAAATGTCTTGTCGTGGGACCCACCAAGAAGACTGTGAAGCTGCTCTGAATGGTGTTCCATGCGTGAAGCGAGTGCAATACTAGCAGCTAGTAACTAGCTCGAAGCAGCGATCACGATCCTCGTCGTCTCAGTGCCGCTGACTCCATTAGGGCGCAAGAAAAGATCTCTACATGAGCACGACCCTGACCGGCATGAAGCACGAAACATCCATTCTTTGGCAAAGACTGCTTCAAGATGTTGCCCCAAGCTGAGCTAGACTAGATTGTGGATTCCCTCCGATGCTTCCCGGCTTTATTGCATAAGCCAAAACGTGTGGAGGACAATCTTGCGTAAGCTAACATGATTCAGCCTTCGCCAGAAGAAGTGTTCTGCCATCAAACCCGTGCAGAGCTTGGAACAAAGTGAATGGCCCGGCAAGCTATGCGCACGGACGCCACGGTCCATCTCCCAGAAGGAGGTCAGAGGACAAAAGAAGAGCCTGCTGGAAACGGCCTTTTCCAACACATGCCCAAGTTGCTCCAAGGTGCACGGGACAGTGACTTGAATGGAATCCTTGCCCAAACTCCAGCTGTTTTTTGTCTCTCACTTACACAGTACACATGCATTTGAAGGGTGATGAGCTATTTTGACCTAAGTCTCACAAGTGCACTGTCCGATTCAGTCACTGAAGGTTCCATGTTCACAAAGACTCCAATGAACTTGCGGACCTTGAGCCTCTCATCTCCCGCCTCTGTTTGTTTCAAGTGTCATGAAGGCCATTGTATCTTTGGATGAGGGCCTTCTGAACACCTGCGTGCTGTTCTACGATATTCTGCCGCCAGAAATAGAAAGTTCCAAGAACCAAACAAATCCTCTAAAATGTGCTCGTCACAACTTGACAAAGACTCAAAATGCTCAAAATGGCTGAGGACTCTTGCAACATGGCAAGAGGAACTCAGCACTGCCCCTGCCACTGGGTGAAACTGCCAAGTTGTAGCAAAAAGTCTGGCGCTACGAAATGCCATGCGCTGTGTGCTTGATGAAGTGGGAGTGACTATGTTAAGGAGTTAAGGCACTCCGTTGTTAATCTATTTGTTTCTGCATTTGCTCCCAGCTCTGGGCCCATACTCCATACAACTTTATCACGGCCATCAAAACCCAGGAATACTGCGATACCACTCATTGCTCCCACAAACAGCCCAAAGTGTAGCGGGGTTTTGACTCACAGCCATATCCTGCGCTTACGGACTATTTAGCCTTATTAAGTTCAAGGGACGCATCCCACCACCCTAGGACAAGAGTCGTCGCCTGATTATGAGCATCAGGTACAGTCGGGCTGAGGAAAACGGCTTGTCAAAGCATGGTCAGAAGTAAATCGAAACGTTGACGAAACGCTTACTGCAAAACCCTTACTGCAAACACTTCTTCTCCAAACAGCATACACAGCAGGTAAATTCGATGCGACTCCAGCGACCTGCGTTGCCTCTGTCAGCAAGCACTTTAAGTGGACCTTGGGAGAACCGGCTTCCGTTCCAATCTATGCGGACAGCAACTTGGAGCTGTTTTGGCTCCAAAACCCAAGCGGCCAAGCTGTACTGTAAGCAACACCAGCAGCAGCAGCAGCAGCATCAAACAGAAGGACAAAATGGAATAGCCTCTTCAAACCGGCGTTTTGGAGTGGTTGGTCCAGCCAATGGCAGAGTACAAGAAACGGGGATTGAATAGATTGCAAAAGCAGATCTGATTTTACTGAGCTTCAGAGTTGCCAGTAGCTCCAGACGCACCTTGCAGGTATCTCGTGCTACAACTGATTTGAAGCTCTTGCAGACTGAACCCATGCAAAGCCAATTAGGCATAGGCAAAACTAATATCCTTTGCCAAACACAAGGCATGCAAAACCGCTGAATCCGCTTAGATCTGCGTCTGCTGGAGCTTTCTCATTGGGTTCTGCATCGAGATATCTATGTCTTGATGCATTGGTTGCTGCCAGTTTTGGAGCAGCACAAAAGGCGCACAGCGAATGAGATTTGACCAGAATCAGATGATTTGACCATCTCAGCATGGAGGCCTTTCAGCAGTGCGAGGAGCACACAAGACGCGAGTATCCTGTACTACAAGGATTGGTCAAGTCTCTCACATCCCCTTTCTCTTTTGTGGGAGTGTCTAGCATCTATGGTGTGTGTACAAATCAGGACAAGGCACAAATCATGACAGATCGTGCTCTTGCGCACCTTTCTCGGTGCTTTCATGTAGTTCCGGCTTCGTTTGGCACGTATTCAAGATACCCTCATTGCACAAAATTGCCATGAAGCAAACGAACACCAGCAAAGAACGAAGGATCTATCTCTCAGCAAATTCTTGGAGACATCTGCAATACAAGCGTTCACTTCAACAAATAACCATAGACTATAGCGTATCTTCAAGAACCTCTGGGTGCAGGGCTAATCCGGAGGTATATAGCTCGTTCGCATGAACGATGTTGGAATGAGACCACTTCGCTCTGAAGCACGTTTTCATGCACCTGAGAACAACCACGGCCACTGCATGAGAGTTCAGGAAGACACAGTTATTTTGATGATCTGTGCAGCCGTCTTCTCACTACACACAAAAGGGCGAGCAGGAAGCTGCAAAAGTGGCGGATCTTCAAATCAGGCGTGGGCCTGACATGAAAACAAAATCCTGCAGTGTTGGTTTCATTTTGCACAGATTCACAAGAATGGCTGCAATTCAAACCACAGGAGCTGCCGGAAAAAAGTCCAAACTCCGTCCTAGGGAAGCAAAATGGATGCTTTCACAGCTTTCGTGAAACTTTGGCCACCGTTGCCAGAGATGGTCCTCTGTGCCCTTTCGCTCAGCATGGCAGCCTCTTTCAATACGGGCCACATAGGCATGAGTATATATATATTGGAGGGCATGACGGATATCACACTTTGGAATATGATATGACCCAAATACTTAGCCCAATATCTCTATCGGCTGGACCAAAAATGAAATGGCTGGCAGGTCCAGTCCAACAAAGCTACCTCCTGCTTGGCTCCTCCGCTAGAGGTTGAACCTGTAACTTTTCACTTTTGATTGGAGCGATGGGACATCGCTTAGATCTAAATCTTATGGAAAACATGAAAACATGTGATGTGGGCGAAAACATGAAGACATGTGATGTGGGCGAAGGCGGCAAAGCAATGCGCGAGAAAACTCCAAACAAAGTCCCATCAACTACTCCTCGTCAATCTCCGGCTTGGCTGGCCGCCACATAATTGGGTACGGATTGTGGAGCAAAAGAGATGCTGGAGTCATGGCAAGCATTCAAAAGCAACCAAAATGGATTTATATAACCGTTGTTTGATGATGATCGTCCGGGTTGGTCTACTTTGGTCTTGAACCATGCGAAACTTGTCTGGCGTCTTCCCTCCTGATCCCGACGAAGAGAGGCATCCACCTTGTGTGGCTCAGTTGGCTCCCAAAACGTGATCCAACAGCCACTTTCTGTCAATCTGCCACTCCAACTCAAAGGGATGACAATACGATACCTTGTTAAACTAGTAGCTTCTTGTTTCTAGTAGCGATGGCCTCCAGCCTACTTACGATGGCCTCCACCTAATCGCGTCCTTGCCTGAGTATTGGAAGAAGGGTTCTTTGGGGTTCTGAGCAAGCCATGATTTCATGGAGCGACATGTTTTTCGACATGGATTCGAGTGGTCGCTGAGTACTTTGTCAGAGAGGGAACTCTCCACTCTCTATGCCTGGCTGTTGGTGATTCTCAATGAAACATTTCAATCATGAAATGCATCCCGTATCATTCCATTCTTCTCACTTGGGATCTTGTGTGTCAAGTCCCCTTGATTCACACTCACTCGCTCCTCCAGCCAAAAATGTGACCTGTCCATGTTTCACTCGAGTGCGTTGCATGTTTCACTCCGAGCTTCGAAGCTCGGCGCGGTCCACTGGCAGTAACATGAACGCAACTAGGGGCTCCTGGCATCGCTACTAGGAGCAAGGACGCTACAAGGGGCTCCTGGCCTTACTACTAGTAGCCATTTCACCCACGGAAATTATTTGTGTTCAATCTCCGAACTAACCATTCGGTCGCCTCATGCGGATCAAAGACTTACAGTAACTCGTCAAAATGGTACCTTTGGGCGTCGCCGAATCAGAACTCTCTTCACTGGGTGAGTCGTGAATCTCAAGGATGAAGAAGAAGAACACGGAGCTTTCACCAACAACTGAGATGGGACAATGTGAGAGGTTAGGCCTTCAGATCACCTGCAGCGAACACCCACAGGTTGCATTCGTTGCATTCCAACTGAGCTGGCACTCCTTCACGAGCTGCCACGAGCAATCTCGTGCCCTTGCGTGAACCTTTTACTCACAAGCTGTTCTTGTGTCGCGCGTTCTTTAAAGAAAAACAGAAGGGCCTCCTCGACGAAAGAATCCACTTGGCCTTGCGCTCATAAGTACGATACCCCTTCTCACAATTACTCCGCTCGGGCTTCGCGCGCCCTCCATGGCTCAACCGGCAGCCTTTTTTCAGCGGATAGTTGGGCAAGCATCTTTTCTCACAATATAAGACTAGACCTGCGTAGACCATCGTAGACCATTATAACTGAGATTCCTCAAGAAAGTCTGAAGCATCTGGAAAACCTGACATAGCTGACGCTGCAAAAACATCGAAACACTACAGAATTCTATATTTTGTGGTTACACAGAGACAGCTCACCTCCGCTTAACAATATACGGCCAAGTGAATGATGCCTTTTTGCTCCAGATCCAACCTGCGATTCTGGGACGAGAATGGAGCAACACGTTTTTGGGAACTCTCATCTCATTCTCAGAGCCGGATGTTTCCAGGGTGAATAGTCCATAGTCGTTTTGCGATGATCCACCTTCTCTGCTTGCCAAAAATGATACTCAAGGTTGTCACAAATCGGAAGGGAGACCTTGCCAGAATCCACGAATGGGGGACCAAGTCAACCTGCAAAATGCTTCTGACGCTTCTCCATGGATACTTGGTGATGGGTCAAAACCAAAGGCCCCCCCCCAAACATGGCAGGTTGACCTCCTTGGTTTTTGTGCGGTGATGCGTTGATAGTTATCAAACACTCTGCGTTGGAGACTTGGACATGACCGGGTGGTCAAGCAAGGTCCCGGTTTGACCCATGAAATCAAGGGTCACTGGCTTGACCCTTTACTCCTACTGCCGACTGCCGCTCCGCACAAACAAGCTCCAAGCATACGATGGACTGGGTGCACTGTGTCAGCATGGTCTAAAGAACTCTAGGCATGACCAAGATCCACACACCACCAAGCATGACAAGCCAAATACGTTGCGTTTGCACAAGCAACCCAGCCCTGACGCTAGAGCTGACACTCTTTGAAGCAACCGACAGGCACTATAGGCTCGAAGCAATCGAAGTGACACACCCTGCGTGGGAGCCTTTGCTGCAAACATGGTGATCAGAGGAAGCGTCAACTCTTCCCCTGGCCCTAAAGCACCAAAGAAATGGATCACGCCCGTTTGCATGACAAAAATGCACGGGAACTCGGCGTGGACACTCCGAAAGCTACTATCCTGGTTCGTGCGACTTGGGAAACATGCAGGTTAGGACGGTTGGGGCTTAGTTTGAGACCAAGTGTGCTTCTTCGGATCTTGGGTCTGTTGTCAAGACCTTGGTGTCTCTCAACTTGACATTGCCTCAGCTTTGTCACTAGTCTTCAAGCACACCTCAAAAATGCTCAGAGCTGCCAAAGCTTTTGATGACAAACAACCAAACCTTTGAAGCGGCCGGTCTGGCCATGTGAAAAGGACATGTGAAATGACGGACACATGAAATCACTCACGTCATGTGCACCCGGCATTCGTTCAACTCGCAACGCTGGACCAAGTGTCGAGGGTGCTAAAACAGGCCAGGATCTGTCTGCTAGGATAGCTGAATGTGGAAACGGAAAATCATCTCAGCGAGCAGCTCAGCTTGATCTCCATGCAGTTCTGAAACCATGCCTGTGAGGTCTAACTATGCGAGGAGGAATTGCCAAGGGAAAGTGTTCAAAGGTTATGCTGGAGGCCGTCGCTGCAAGAGTGATTCAACTTGGGGTGAGCTGCGCAAATGATATGATGAAGATCCGATTAGTACCTGCATCTCCTCTGGCTGAGAAGGAATGTATGGCCCATCCATGCGTGGGTTCTTATCCGCCTGCACATTTGTGCCTGAAAAAGACACTGGAAAACCCTGTAGTGCATCCAAGTTACCTTGGTCAATTTCAACTCGGCTCTAAAGCCATGCCTGGAAGGTCCAACTAAGCTCTGGGGCGGATAGCTGCAGGACCCGTTCCATTTATTCTGGGACAAGGACTTGCCCAAGGAAAGGGCATCAAGCACAAGTTGCCCAGAGTTTCCTGCTAATAGCAGTGGCAAAATTCATGTGGGACCTTGATGTTTGAACAACCTCAGAAGAGGAAAGACATCGGTGCCTGATGCAGCCCTCTATATAGATTTCCCTGCGCGATCAAAAAGCAAAATTGTTCAGTCTGCTTCTGCCAAAGTAAGCTCCACTCACCAATTTGACAGAGACATGTTTGCCTGGCTTGCTTTGTTCGGATTGCTTTTCTTGGCTTGACTCGCTTAGCTTGCGAGAGTTCCTCTAATTGAAATGCTTTTCGTGCTTGTGCGCATTGCCCTTTGTTCCCCCATTTTGCTCCGATTGGTACGCCCTCAGTCTGTGATTTAATCTCCCTGAGAGACAAGCGTTCTGACTGGACCGCTTGGAAGGCTTGGGGCATTCTTGCTTGATCAACCTGAAGCCAAAGGAGTACAACCCTGAGAAGCTTATGATCGACATCGGGTGGAAAAACACGCGACTCAGGCAGAGACAAACAAAACCATCAAATCCTGCAAGCAATCACCTCTTTCGAGCATGTGAAATTAGTTGGGCAAGAGATGGAAGTGCACAGGATTCCTACTTAGATGAAGTCAGTGTGATATAGTATTCTAACCTTCAGAAGATCTAGGTATGCAACGCCCAACCCTGCCTTAGGAAGGTAATTGTGCTGCAAAATTGGGAACTTCAATCTGTTCAACGCTCCGATCTCAAGGAGATGCAAGCCACGCCCCGGTTCTGTCTCAGTTCTTTGTTGCATAGGTGCTGCACAAGTGGAAGGGTCCAACTGCCATTTTAAAGGATTGCACACCTTGTACGAAGTGCAAAGATTATCTCGAGGGCCAAACAGAGTGTTTTCACTGAAGAAACCGTTGGTCAAACAAACGGTCGAAAGTGTGTGTGGTTGCTGCGTTTGCTTTGGGCTGCACAGGCAAGGGCGCTTAGTAGTAAGAGTAAAAAATAAAAGTGTTTGAAATAAAGAGCCTTAAGGGTCAAGGGGGTAGCTCAGGGAGAAGGCATGTTTGAAGATGGAGGGCCGATTTCATGGCATTACGGGGGTTGAGGGTGGCCTAAGAAAGACTCCACAAGGAAAGGTTAGAACCGGACGGCACTGCAGGATAACCTTTAGAACAATGATTTCTTGGCAGGCACAGGTCTGATCCTTGAAAATACATGCCGCCGCAAGCAACCGATACTGCCCTGCCCAAGTTCAAACCCCTTTGCGAAATTTGCACAGGTTGTGCTGTGACCATTCAGCACAAAAGTGCCAAGGTATGCATCTTGTTACTGCAAATGCTGAGTGTCATCCCAGGTAGCTTGGTTGGCTTGGCTTCACAAAAGTCAAGAGATCAGCGCACCTCGCGCTTTATGAAAACCCATCGAGCAAAAGTGAGATTATCTACAACATCCTGCAATCCTTTAAGCGACTATATTTACAAAACGGCCTCGAGGCTGCTAGCTTGACCAGCAGACTCATTGTCATCTTGGAAGAAGCTTGGAGGAAGCACCAAAACGGATTGGGTTTTTGGTGAATCTCAAACGGATTGGGTTTTTATTGTTCGAAGCGATCCACGGCTTTCTACTTTATGGCTTTGGTGTTGCCCTAACAGGTTTTCATGCCGTCAAAAAGTGATACTTTCTGGACGCTCTCGAGAGAGCCTTCCCCAGCTTCCATACGGCAAAAGGCCAGGCTACCGCTCTAAGTCGTCTAGGTCGTCTTTGTGATGGAAGCTGGGTGGAATCGATTTTCACGGAGCCCTGCACAAGTGCCTCTTGGAATGAACGTAATATTGAGCAGTTGAAAAATCCATGACTAAAGTGATTTAAATGACATCAGCTCTTCCGGTCGGCCCCTACGGATCGCCATGGCTTCACATTCTACCAAGAAAAGGCAACTGGGTCAGCTCCTATTGGTTGTGGATGTTTCGAATCCCGAAGATGGCCGTTGAGCAATTGCATCTGTGGATGCCCAAAGCTCCTATGTCAAGGCTACACCATTCTCTGCCCTGGGAGGCTACTGGTTTGCACAACACTCATTGCTCGTTCGTCATCTCCTCTATTTCCACCGCTTGCGGAATCACACCCGTCCCAAGGCGGTGGGCAAGCAGCCATGGAAGGAGGTTCCAAAGAAGGAAGGCCTTAAAACCTGTTTCTAATAGCTTCTTGTTACTACTAGTAAGGCACTTGTTACTAGTAGCGATGCACTTGTTCCTAGTAGCGAAACTGTCATCGCCTGTTGAACACTGTGTCTTTCGGGACCCCATGGCTGGAAGCGCACCCCACCGGACCCACCCGAGACGCGGGACGTTGTCCATGTCTTGACTAGAAGCGGCAGAATGCACAAAATCCAATGTCGTACCGTTCTAGAGCGGTCAAGCCATGCAGACTAGAGGAACCTCTATGCCATGACCATTGGCCCTTTGGTGATACTGGTTTAACGTTGAAGTCTCTCGAATGATAGCAATCTATGGCTCCTTTGTAAGTTTGAGAAGAAAAAGACTCCACAAACTTCTCTAGGAACGGTGTCATTGAAAATGTCGGATGAGGGCTCCGAATGTCCTACGATGTCACTAGACTTCTTGCAGCTAAAATGACTTCACACCACACTTTACCACAAGACACTTCACCACATCACAAATCGTCACAATTCACCACACCATACTCACCACATAACACAAAACCTCCAACTCCAACTGACTCACATGCCTTCCACCACACCAGGAATCGCCATACCAGAAAGAGCAACAGTGGCCGATTTTTGGTTGCGATAGAATCTGGAGCAAAATGCACGCCATAGTACGGTGAAATGCTTCAAGTCTACAACAAGGTGGGCTGAAGTTTGGAACTGGTACCATGCTCTCGTGGAGTTCAAGTCTCTTGGAAGCTCTTCCCAGCCAAGCCGAGATCAACTCACCTTGCAGCTAGCCAGCCAAGCCCTTGAACATGCCCTACCTGTGTTCTTTGACGGGAAATGAAATGATCCCCAGCAGGTGTTCCAGTCAATGTGCGGTCCTTCTTATCTTTGAGGTCTCCTGAAACACACCTGAGAGAGCAAGTCGCCTCTCCTGCCACCTCCAGCAATCCAAGGAAGTTGAAAGAAGAAAGCAACAAACAAAATCGCAAGAGTGTGGGCCTTTCTATTCTACGTATATACGACGATGATTCGATGAAGTAAGATGAAGTAAGGCTGCTTGAAAAGCACCCAAGCCCATAAAGCAAATTCTGCTGGAACAAAGACAAAGGAGCTGGGTCCTGCCAAAGGAGCTCAGCCGCGCTTTTTGCTGGAGCTCAGGTGTCGGGTTAGCACCCTCGGCAAATTAAAATGCATTATCCTACCGCCAGATTGAGGCAGGCAAGCAAGCCTCCCTCGTCTTTGATCTGCGAAAACTACAGCCGTTTTGGCTGCTAACCATCATTGGACATTCGCTTGCCAAGCACCCCTGTCTGTGCTTGGAATGCAAAGTTCGGGAAAGAACCGGTTAACCACCACAACTTTGAATGGCTTATGTCATAGTAATCCTGACCACACGCCAAATGTTTACATAAATGTACTGGGCAGAAACATCAGTATGTTGTTTACCTATTACCTAAGACCCTTCAGGCCTACACCGTTGCGGCCTCATGCTTGAATTCCACCCCTGGAGGTGAGCAAGTAGGGCTCTCAAACAGTTGGATTGGTCGATTTGGCCTCTTCAATCCACGCATCCATCTTCTGGCAGGGTTGGGTGCACAAAACACAAAGTGCTTCTGTTAAAGTCAGAAAACCCGTCCACATTCGTCGGGATCGTTTTGGAAAGAAAACCCGTATGTCTTCAAATACGTCAGGTTCGATTTGGCGGGTGAAATCGCGTCAAAGCTGAGGTCTTTGAAGAATGGATGATGATTGATTCCAATGAAGCGGTTTCATCCAACCTTGCTGACTCAATGCAACTATGCAATGATGATTAGAGTGCGGAAAGGCCTGGTGAGAGCTTAGTTGCACTTCTCTACTTGCACATCACTCACCTGATAAGGACCAAACCATTCCTTTCGATCACCCGTCTGCAGGTGCTCTCCCTGTGCAACAAGGCACTTTAAATTCCATTCCCATCCTGCCTTCTTGTCAAAGAAAACTGTTGGACTCATCTTTGGATGGAAAGCCCTTTCCTCCCGAGTACACTTCCGTAGTCTCACGATGTTCATGCCCCACTCCACTGCACACAGAGATTCATCACCAGGCATGACCGTCAAATTCTTTGCACCAATTTGGTGGCGGACTAGGACTTGAGTGATCCTGAGTGACATGGTTGCCCAAACCCAAGTGTGACCCAACATTGTGAGGATAATTGTTTGTGTGAACTACGCCATGCTCTCAATTATACCCTGGTCCTGTCCACATCGAGCTTCAATTGCGGCATATTCCAGCTGACTCATCTTGCGGGGATTGCTTCTATAACTTCTATGGTGTTTCGTGAGAGTGCTATATATATATATCTTTCTGCCAGTCAGGCAATGACTTTGGGGATGGCAATTTCAAGGATTGCGTCCGTTGCAACAACATCCAATTTGCAGTTCATTCCCATTCAGGAACGCTTCGTACTTCTATGGGTTTGATTGTTGGAGCTGGTCACACCTCGCTTTCCCTGGTGTCAGTGTCAGTGTGTGCGTGTGCGTATGCGTGTGGGTGTGGGTGTGGGTGAGCGCACACAATCCCATACATGCTGCTCATGCTCGGATTGCGACCCTTTGCAAACGCCTCCTTACAAAAGATAGCAAGAGCATCCACAAGCAGATAGTAGTCCGACGATAGTAGACGACTATCCTGATTCAACGTCACAAAACAGTACAACCGGCAGCTGGGCATCTGCTCGATCTTTTTGACGGCAGACCACTTTGCCGTTGTGCCAATCCCAGTGTTCGTCACTCTGTATGCATAGACCACCTTCCCATGGAACCAGTAGTTGGTCTCTAAGTCTTCCTGAACTGCGAAGGGTTTTGTCCAGCAAGTCGGCACTGAGCAAAGCAAGGTGAAGGACAAAAACATTCAGTGATGGACAAATGAAAATTTTAAAAAGTTCTCACAACAACCAAGCTTCAATGACGTAAAGGCCGCCAGGCTTGAGTGACTTCCACAGGGAGAACAAGGAGTAAATCATATGAGATGGTTCATGAGAACCATCATCAATGATTATATCCCAAGGCCCTCGTGCAATGAGTTCCTGCATCGTTTCATTCTTTGACTGATCGCCCCATATCACAGTAGTCTTAGGTCCAAGTTTTTTCTCTACTCCACCCGCAGAATTGCCATAGGCCAGACCCAAGACTGTCTTGGGAGACGTGAAATAGTCATCCCAAACCTTCAAGGAACGCCCATGCTCAGCCCCAATCTCCACTATCTTCAGGCCAGGCTTGCATCTCTTCCCTTTCAGCCAGTAATCATAATAACGGTCGTAGTGATGGGTGAAAAACTTATCAGATCCTTAGCTGCTAGCTGCTAGGCTGCTAGACATCACCCAAAGAATTGGAAGACCTGAATAGTTCATCCTGGTATGGGAGAAGAGTCCATCCATGCCTTGTTTAATCCAGTAGCATGTGCACAAGGTCACGCAGTAGACACGAATGTTCAACCCCAAAACATCAAAAGGCTAATCAGTGCTGCAAGGGTCCGCTGCGCTTGATCAAATTGGTGATGTTCGTCAACCCTCCTGGACAATCGAAAGGTCCCACATCATCCTCGTCGTCAGGAGCATCAAACGCGGGATCTGCGTCCACCGGCTTTTCCGCAAGACTTAGTCAAAAAAGTCGACAAGCAGTTCGATTGGGAACTTGACACAGTGAATATGAGTACACAAAAGCTACGTGAGCGGAAGAGCACAGGTCACAAAAAGAAAATCAAGTGTTGTTGGAGGTCGTTGACCACCCCATAAACCACAAAAAGTGTATCCAGGCAAAAGATGTGCAGTGCTCCTCATTCATCTCACAGAAACACAAAAGAACATACAACTTTAAATTTGAACCATGTCAAATCTGAAAGTCTTTTTGGGAGCGTCTCTACTTTGCAAAATGTATTTTTTAAAAAATAAGGAAAGGCACATCTGATGCCAAGGGGCTTCGGCTCAAATTCAGCCATGGTAGCAGTGGTTGGGACCATGAAACCCTTCAAATCTGAGATAGGCCTTGGATCATGACAAGGGAACCTCTTCAAAGAAAGTGACTCTCCGTTCTAGCAACAACCCAAAAAAATGAAAACATACATGAATGACAACAAAAAATGTAAAGGTATGCTGTATGTTGATGGCAAGCAACGAGAAGCGGAATGATATCATTGTGGCCGATATGCCAAATGAAAAGCCAAGAACATAGCCCGCCAGAAACCGCATGGCGCGGTCAATGCAGGAACACTGTCTGTTCTCCACGTTCCATATTTGGGACAGCAAGTGACATGATTTTTGGTTTGGATATATAAGTATTTCGAAACATGCAAGGTGGATGAAGAAACAGGGATTTGTTGGTTGGAGACATGGGCAGCCAAGAGCTTGGCAGGGGCACCAATGCTTAAAAAAGCATGATTGTTTGCTATTTCATGACAAATGAACATCAAACCTCCCTCAAAAAATTACAAGTTTTTTGCGCCCTCATCAACATAGCCATCACAACTTGAGCAAAACACGTTTTGTTTGCAAGGTTGCAATCTCAAGCGACATGTTCAAACATGACCCCTGACACACATGGAGCAGCAGCAGTCACATATGATGTCGATTAATGAGGGCCCTTTTCCTTCTGAACATACGATTCAATAAAGTGAGCTGGCTGTCTTGACGTGTTTTCATGTCTTCAGACTGCATGCATGAGTGCTTGGTTGTACTCTAACACCGTGTTTTTAGCGGGATGCGCAAATCACGCTAAACTTCATCATGCGTCTTGCATGAGACTTACTGCGACTCCAGCACTTCTTGCGCAGATAGCGTTTCATACTTCAAGTATAGGAAAAACTGCATGTATGCATTTTCGAACCTGGTGCCGCTGCAGGGTGCAGCTGCATTGCTCACTTGGAAGTTTGGGTGTGTGTGCTTGGGACTTTGGGTGCTGGCACTGCTGCAGGGTGCCGCTGCTGTATGCTTCTAACGCGTGGCCGTATGCACTTGGGAGCTCGGGTGCTGGCGCCGCCGTGTGCACGTTGGAGCTTGTGTGTTGGTGCCGCTGCAGGATGCCACTGCCAGATGTGGCCATGTGCGCTTTGGAGCTTGGGCGCTGGTACCGCTAAAGTGCGCTGCCCACAAAACTTTTGATTAGTTAGCTATTTGTCCCTCTGTGTTTGATCATTCCCCAGATAGCGTGAGCTATTGGGTTTCTTAGTGCAAGTAGAGGACGAGCTGCATGTATCCGCTTTCGAGCCAGGGTGCGGTGGTGCGTGCGCTTGGGAGCTAGAGTGCTGGTGCCGCTTCAGGGCGCCGCTGCTGTGTGCGTTTCCGGAAAATCCTAAACATATTGCCCTTTTGCAATGTCAATGTTTTCGGAAATTTGGATGTGTTTTTTTTGCGATATGAATTTTTTGAAATGTGGCACCTTGCGTGGCAGATTATTGAAGTCTTCTGAAGCTTTGGCAGATGACTGAAACCATTCGTTGGTCTTTTTCTTGGTCGAAACAAATAAGTTTCGTTTTTTGAATCAACCGTTGGTAGGACAAAGGATATTGTTCACAAATGACCGACGTGCAAAACCTCTTGCGCGCTGTAGCGCGCACTCTTCCAAACGTCATCGTTTTTCTGTCACCGGAGGTTTGGGCAGTGAATATGTGATGCGTTGTATATCCTTACATTTAAAACGAATTCGCAGTTGCGCACGCCAAAGGTGACCACAGCCTCAGTCGGGCCAAGAGCACCAGATTTGCATGTGTTCTTGAAAAAGCGTTCAAGTTTGCCCAATATTTGTGAGGTTTTTGGCCAGCTTTTCCTGAAAACTGATGGTTTTCAAGTGCACGTTTCTGGGAAATTGACGTTTTGCAATGCGCAACTTCTGGGAAATCTAGATTCTTTTGGCTTTGCGATGCGCAGTTTTCTTTTTACGGTTCCTTGCCTTGGCAGCTTGCTGAAGTCTTCTAAAACTGTTTGGTCGCACGTTTGTTTTGAACCTCGCGCTTCGGTCGCACTGATACGTACAGATACTACACAAGTAGATCAAGTTCTCTATAGTTTATACCTCGAGAATAGAAGAAAATAGGGATTTATTTCAAATAGAAGTTGCATTTGGGGGGGTTACCGGGAAGGGTTTAAATAGAAGAAAAAGTGGGTTGCAAGAGCTGCTCCTGACATACCCATTTAGGTATGTTTGGAGGCATGTTCTGTGGATGGCTGGATTCTTGTCTTGGATACTGGACAGACACATTTTTGCTGGTATTTACTGTGTTTTCAGCCACGGGAGTGTCCCTGTGAACGCGGGCAAGCTGAAGTGCAATTTGCACCGGTTGCTCTCCCACCGGAGCAAGTCTTGCAAAGTTGTCATCTTGGGAAGGTTGAACAAAAAACTGCAAAAAACCCTGTGCTTTTTAGCTTTTTTGAGCAATACATCGTATCCATTGTCAAGGAAAGACAGGAAATTAAATAGAAGAAATGAAGGACAGTGCATATAGAAGAAAATATAACTTATTTGTTTAAAGTCGGATTGGGGATTTAAAAAAATAGAGAATATCTTCTATTTATTCTGCTTCTTCTCGGAATGCTCAGATCCTTTTCCTCTCTCAATCCCATCCGGTCTGTACGCATTGCCTGTTTGGCATTGCAAAATCCCCAAGCCCGCACATGGCTTTCTTTTCAAAGAACACATTCTTCATTTCTTCTATATATTTGAATGTGATGTTTGTTGAATCAGTGAACCAAAAGGTTGGTTGGCTAAAGGAAAAACAGTGCAACAGATAGACTTTCAAGCCTACGCGGTGCAAAACGTTCTTGCAGCCTTGCATGTGAATATGAAATGATTGATGTCGATGACACGACATGGGAACAGCGTGTGGTGTTGGTCTTCCGGAGCTAGGGGACATCAAAAAACACGTGGGCACAAGCAAAACTTGCACAAAATCACCTTTTTTTGTGAAAATGACCAAACTCAAATTCCTAGCTCCAAAACATTTAGTCCGTGCAAGTAGACAGCTCTTGTTTCAAAGCTTCTACATATTCACACAAAGGGATCTCCCTGACTAAAACTTGGTTTACTCCAGCGCCGACTTCCTCTTGATGGCTCTCCCAAAGGGAAATCAACACCTGGAGAAGAGCTGCAGGCTCAGATCGGTCCAATCCTTCCCTGAATGAACGGCCAACGTTGGGGCGACCTGGATATAGACCGAGCCACTGACCATTCCTGCACAAATCAAACCAAGAAACATGTGCAACCCACAGGAACAAACTGGAAACAACTTAGAGCTGACTTCACATGAATCAAACAATTGGTTGGTTTGGCACAGCCAGGAAACCGGTTGTAACAAAGGCCGCGCCCGAGCACTCCCAAAACCCGTGGAGTATCCACAAGGCCCTTCTCATGTAGGACTTCCACGCGGCAGAATTCATGTACTGCAGCTGCTTTCCTCCAGGTGCGATTCAAATAGAAGAATTACTATGTATTAACTGTATTATTACAAAATGTATTTCCCAGCCTCGGGCCCAGTCTTTGATAGCACTTATAATATATATATATATACATACGGTGGCTTAATTATTGCAAGAATGGGTTCAGAAAGGAATTCAAATAGAAGAAATTGTCTTGTTCTTTGGGCCCAAGCTTCCGATCTGAGAAATGCTGAAATTATGTTCCACCAGCTCGACCCCCTCGTGACTGGCAATGAGGTTGCCAAAGACATCCAACTCAACCTTTATCATCCCCTCAGTGTCCAGGTCCACCAGCTCCATGCCGGGTGTCTCCTCTGCCTCCTCGTCAGTGGCATCGTTCTGTTCCTCTTCTTCTTCCAAGGCCTCCAGCACCAATGTCCGTAGGGCTTCCTCCAACTCTGTTTGCGGTTCAAAGGGAACCACCATTCCCGCTGCCGCCAGCTCCTCACCCTCCATTCCCGGCGCATCCTCTGCATCAGATTGCGGGGAGTCCTGGCTGTCATAGACCTCCATTCCCGGCAAACCAACCGACTGCATGAAATCCTTGTCTACTGCCAATTTCAAGCTGTCAAACTTGGTCTCCACTTGAAGGACTCTCACTGGAGCCCATGCAAGACCACCGATTCGCATCTTTTTCTCTTTCAGGTCAAAAATGATGATAGTGGACCGAGATCCTTCCTGCAAGCCGAGCATATACATACATACATACATACATATATGTATATCAGGTAAACCATAATATCTTCTATTTGAACAACGATTTCCTGACGCTGAGTGAATGATCCTGATATCTTCTATATATTTGAACACTTGTATAACAAATGGGCCTTCAATCTCATCGTGCCATCAGCTGCCTTCTGCAAATGGTCTTTGATATATTTGGCAGTCGCAGGAGCCCCAGTGGCATGCATTAGTACCAAAGGACGCACGCAATTGTTCACAATTGCATCAAACTTTGGCCTTCTAATCTCCTTTCTCTCCAGCTTCTTGGTTGCCTCGTACACTTGGAGTTGATATTGAGCGAAGCTCTTGTCGGCGTGTTGCTGCATCAGAATGGGTAGTGTAAGCCAGTTGCCATCGGATGGATCTTGCATTTGCCACACATGCACTGTCCGGCCAGGGCATGCGTCACGGACGGCCTCTGCAATTGTGGGCCTCGGAATTTGGCTGACAAAATTTGGCCTCCACTATACTTTGAACAACATATATGTACAAATATAAAGTGAGGATCAAATAGAAGAAACTTGTTCCAATCTATTGTGGACCAAGGGTCGGAACAAGCACAGGAATGTCCGGCACCAGCAGTTTGGGGGTAGGACCATCACCGTTGCCTGGACCCTCATCATCCGAATCTCCATCAGCCTGATCTGGGTTCATCTCTTTCATTTCGTCCTTGCTTACCAACCCCCGGCTAGTCCAAGACCAGCGCAACAGCTTCCTGTACTTCTTGAGTTCTTGCCAAGCATACAGCAAAGCTCGAACATTGTCCTGGGCACTCACCTGCAAATGCTTTTGCCCGTTGAGTCCCAGCTCTATTGGCTTTGAAGCTTGGAGAAGTCCGTCCTCATGGTATCCTGAGGACGGTTACTGTAGAAACATGCAACTATCTGCCAGCCAGATCTCTGTATCTAAATACATCTATATAGAAGATATATAGACACATATTATATTCTATATATAAAAAAGGTTCAACTTGTTTGGACTTGTTCAGCCCCTGGCCTAGGACGTGATCAATGAAAGTGTTGGCAATGCGTCTCAGCATAAAGTGAAATGCATCGCAGGGCTGGCCATGAGCACTCCAGCCACCTGGTGGTCTAAGTGGCAGCTTGATCCGGTTTTCCGTGGACCAAAGTTCTCTCCGAGCATCCTGATTCTCGAGCGTGGAGAAGTTTCCACTAAACCCATCTGCTATGAGCAGGCCCCAAGTGTCCTTGTCATAGCCAAGCTCCGCTCTACGAAGTTCGAAGGCCTGGGCACAAAGCGATCAAATAGAAGATATTAGTGAATTTACAAATTTGTCCAAATGTATTGAGCGTGTTCAAATAGAAGATATGGGTTTAATTGTTCAAACATATAGAAGAAATAAATATATACTCAAATCGCACATCCTAGGGACTGGACCGAGCAGTTCATGAAGATACAATAGTGTGGTGTCGGAATTCATGAAGTGTGACTCGGTGCCTGATTCAAACAGGAAGACATGTCCCCTATAGTCTTCATTCATCTGACGAATATAGGCAGCAGGCACGCTTCCTGTGGCCAAGCAAATGCCCAAGGGTCCTAATGACCCATCGGCCCATGTGGAGGTCACAGCTGTGACCCCCACACGGCCTCCCACCACAAACTCGGAGCGAGCCGAAGATTGCCGGAGTTGAGAAGCACGAGTGGTTTGCCCCATTCTGGCGGTCATAGCGCCTTCTGCCAAGGCGAGAACCTGGAGAGCCTTTTTCCCACCACATCATCCGGCCTAACTTCTTTAAAATCATCTCCTTCCCGATCGGCTTGCCTTGCCCGTCTCTTGTGCAGCACTTTTGGGGGGGTTCCCAAGCTGCCCGCCACAATTGATCGAAGTTCAGCGTCAACTGCCATGGCACATTGTTCATTGCCCGCTGAGCCCGGTGAGCCTGCCGTGTCGATACCATTTCATCACATTGATCCGGCAAATATGCACCTTTGGTGTTGGAGGCTTGGTATGACCACTGCCAATTGTGCAAAAATCTGTACACCCACCGAGAATCAATGTCCTTTTCCCGCATGTGATGCTCATCAAGATTTTTGTCCTCCCATTCACAATCTGGTCACATAGAAGATAATGGGGTAATGGGGAGGTGGTGCAAAACTTTATTTTGGAAAACCTTAACCTTCCAATTAAACAAGTAAGGAACCACAACATATGGAAGATATTATTTCTCGGTTTCCTTTTTTGACTCCCAACAAAAACAACAATCGGCTGCTGCTCCTTGCAGAGTTTCTTGTAAGCCTGTGCCCACTTCTTGAAGATACTCTTGGCTGTCTCCACCAGAACAGGCATCTTGAGATTTGTGACGGCTTGCAAGTCGCGATTGAACCCAGCAAGCATTCTCTCAAGCACTTCATTGAATGTGGCCTCCACTTCATGCGGCACACGCCTGCCATGGCCTTTCCGGAAACGCTCTGGCAGCTGCATAGCGCGCCGGAGCCAGTCCGGCAATTGCTTCATCTGGGAGCGATCCTTTACAGACATTTCTTGCCAAGGGATACGGTGGTGTCCCTCCAGGTCGTATGTCCTGAGAACATGTTGGTGAAACGGCAAATGCTGCATCGAAGGAGACATGAGATACTCATCGAATAGAAGATATGATAGTCACTTTACTTCTATTTGAATGACTTCCAGTTGTCCATATAACAAGATTTGTCAAAGCGTGCAAAGCAAAGCCCAGAAACTGTATCCATTTCCGGAGCAAACCACTCTTCCACTGATTGCTCTCCTGGGAGAAGAAATATTTCCGGAAGTGGGTCATGACTGCCCGTTCTACGCTTCGCTCTTTGCCCTCTGCTGCCACCTTTTTGGCGTACTCAACAATGATGCACTTGGTGTACAACGGAATCATGCTGCACTTGTTGGGTACTTTGTTTGCCTCCTCCACCTCACCAAAAGGATCGGTGGGTGGAGCCTCCTCCTCGACTGCCACACTCTCTTCCCCTTCACTCTGATTCTCTGTTTTCTTTTTTTTGGTGTCTTTTTTTCTCGTTTTCTTCTTGTTTTTTTTGGTGTCTTTTTGGTCAGCCTCTTCTTCCCCTGCAGTGGTCTTTCTCTTCTTGCAGGAGCCAAATGGACGGCCTGGGGGCCTCTTGGTGGAGCTCACTGCTGGTAGTTCCCTCCGAATTGCCTCTTGCTGTTCTTCCCATTGGCGCAGTTTTTGCCCCAAAGACACAAAGTTGACATCCCCCTCAGGGTTCAGCTCTAACTCCTCCCCGATGTTTGACAAGTCCGGATTTTCCCCACTCAATTCTGCCAGTAGAGCACGAAATTCCTGGGACGCTTCTTTTGGGGAAGAGAAGCACAAAGCCATGGAGTCAACGAGCCAGTTCTTCAAATTTTGTAGGAAGTGGATGTTTGCCTCCACGGAACTGGAGTTGGTTTGCCTCTCAACGTGTATGGCCGGATCTGACGATGGCTGCTCCGTCTCCCCTGCTTTCTCCCATGAGTTTTGCTTGTCCACCTTCTTGGCTGCCCAGCCCATGATGCAGTCCTCAATCCTTGGCTCCACCCGATGAATCAAATAGAAGAAAACAGTAGGACATCGTTTAATTATATATATACTGTAGAAGACAATTGTGGTAAATTGGTAGGCTGTTTTTTGGTGAAGTACGACTTGTGTATATATATATATATATTTCTGTTAACAAAACTCTGGTCCAAATGCTTGCTGAAGGTCCGTGGGGCCAAATTCTCATCAAACAGAGAAAGCCTACTCCGTTTTCCAGCGTAGTGAATGAAGAACGGCACATCCTCTACAGCCTCCTCATTGCTGATAGAGTGCTCATGAGGTTCCTACAGGAGTCGGATCACAAACAGGGTTTAAAACCTGCCATTTGCAATTGGTCAACCACGAATATCTTCTATTTAGTTGGCACATGGCATCCCTGATTGTCCCAGGGTTTCAAACTTGCCGTTTGCTGTTGGTGAACAAACTAACCTAATATCTTCTATTTATATAGCGTGCATAAGGTATCCCCAATTTTCCCAGCCAATTAGTCTTCTATATATTATATAATATAGTTTGCATACGGCATCCCTGGACTGTCCCGCCTGGCAATCATGAGGGCAACCTTCCACTTCTGTCATTCCCAGGTTGTTCAAGCGCATGCAGCGCACCTTCTTCTCAGAATCCATCACCAGCCCATAGGCGAGACTGAGGTCTTTCTGAATTCGATACATCATGTGAGCATCCGTTGAAGAAAAAAGGCTTGGAATGACGGATGGGAGTGCACCCATCCGATCACCAAGGTGTTCGTTTCTTCTAAATGCTTCACCAAAGTAGCTGCTTCCGAACCCTCCTCGCCAACAGACCATTTGTCACTTTCCTGCTTTGGAAAGTAGAGGCCTTTGGCGTAGCTGATGGACTTCCCCGTCTTTGAGTCTTTCTCTATGTTGCCCAAAATCCATGCCATATACTCGTTGGGGGCATGCTGCCAGGCGTGCTCGCAGAACCTTTTGATCAGATTGTGGGGGAACTGGACCTCTCTTAATTTTTCATCCCGTTCTTGGGCCTTGGACTTGACTACACGAGAATCCTTGGGATAGAACAGGGAGTTGAGCTCCTGCTGGCTCAAAACTTTTTCCTCTCCTTTCACCCTAGCTTCAGACGCGGCCGTTCTGAGGTGATCCAGAGTCGCATGGCTTTTGCTCAACAGAGTGGTGTCTTGAGGGATGTCATCCTTCTCCACTGGCTCGAAATAGATGGCAAAAACTTTCTCACAGTCTTTGCCAAAAATGGCATCCCAGTCCGGACCCACTGGAGCTCCCCTTTCCACAGCCTCTTCACGGTCCACCTCCAAGATTTTGAGGATTCTCTTGGGGGGCCAAGCGATTCTTGCTGGAATAACCTCAGCTGCCCAAGCCTATGGTGATGGGTTAAGAGGAGCTATATAATTGCTTTTTCTTCTATTTGATAAAAATTACACCACCGTAGACCCCAAACAGTTTGTGTTTTTCAAAATCGAAGCTAGAGCTTGGACAAAGGATTGCGCAAGGGAGAGGCGGCCACAGCAGCCCAGAGCTGGGAGACAAATGTAAAGGGTTGCAAGGCAGAGACGGACACAGCCGTACAGAGCAGGCGGACATATCTTAAGAAAAGGGTTGAGAAGCCCCACAAGTAAACCTTTTGGGGAATTATTCTTCAAGTGCGAACATGATGCTGGTCATGCTGCTCAATCAGCAGGGAGCTGACCACGTGAGGACAAGAAACAAAAGCATGAGGAGCGAAGGATGTGACATGAAATTGATTTTTGGTGCCTAACGTATGCCCTCCGTCCCAACTGAACAGAGAGATCGCTGCCACGCCGCCGAAATCCAATCCGGTCATTCATCCAACGCTTGCCCGAAAAGGAAAACAAAGCTGATGGAGTTACACAGTGTGGCAGGAATGCAATCCCGGAGACAGTCACGCACCCCTTTCAAAGGAGCAAGAACCTTTCACAGGTGAACCTGTTCCAGCGGACAGGGCAGAAAACACCAGTGCAGGCACCAAACCTGAAAGACAAAAAGAAAGAAATCACATGGGAGACAAATGAATAGAAATGCTACATGGCCAAAGGAGATGTGGTAGACAAATGAATAGATATGCTACATGGCCAGCGGAAAAGGGCGGACGCCAGCAGTGACAGACCCGCGAAACACATGAATAGAAATGCTGCATGGCCAGCGGAAAAGGCGGACACCAGCAGTGACAGACCTGAAAAACAAATGAATAGAAAATGTTGCATCACCAGCGGAAAACGGCGGACACCAACAGACGGACCTGGGAGACTAATGAATAGAAATGCTACATGGCCAGCGGAGAAGGGCGGACACCAGCAGTGACAGACCTGGGAGACAAACGAATAGAAATGCTACATGGCCAGCGGAAAAGGGCGGGAACCCGACCACAAGCACCCAGCCTGGGAGGGAGACAAATGAAAAGAAGTAGGAGACAAATGAAAGATAGTGGGAGACAAATGAAAAGAAGTGGAAACAAATGAAAGGCAGTGGGAGACAAGCAAGAACTGGGAGACACATGAAAAGAAGTAGAAGACAAATGAAAGGTAGTGGGAGACAAATCAAAAGAAATGGGAAACAAATGAAAGGAGGTGGGAGACACGCCAGCCGGGACCCGACCACAAGCACCCAGCCTGGGAGACAAATGAAAAGAACTGGGAGACAAGTGAAAAGAAGTGGGAGACAAGTGAAAAGAAGTGGGAGACACGCCGGCCGGGAACCCAAGGCGACCATTCTTTAAAGCATTGAGAACGCCTAACAGTAAACTAATGAAAGAAGTGGGAAACAAATGAAAGGAAGTGGGAGACAAGCCAGCCGGGAACCCGACCCACAAGCACCCAGCTTGGGAGACAAATGAAAAGAACTGGGAGACAAATGAAAGGAAGTGGGAGACAAGCCAGCCAGGAACCCGACCACAAGCACCCAGCCGGGGAGACAAATGAAAAGAACTGGGAGACAAATGAAAAGAAGTGGGAGACAAATGAAAGGAAGTGGGAGACAAGCCAGCCGAGCCGGGAACCCAACCACAAGCACCCAGCCTGAGCAGCTTGGGAGACAAATGAAAAGAACTGGGAGACAAATGAAAGGAAGTGGGAGACAAGCCGGCCGGGAACCCGACCAGACCACCAAGGCGACCATTCTTTAAAGCATTGAGAACCCCTAACAGTAAACTGTTTGGGGAAAAACAGCTGCCTCGTTCATACAAGGTTCTTTTTTGAAAGGCTACGTGGGTTGCTCCCTTCAATCTACTTCTCCAGTAGTTGGTGGAAGCATTTCTAAATTCGCAACGTTTTCTCCCACTGCAGATCTCTTCAAAGTATTTGGCATTCAGCGGAAGGAGGACAGTCTTCTGCACCTAGCCACCACAAACGATGGATCGGCGAAAATAACCGTGCCCAATAAGCTGTCTGAAATGAACACCAAGTTTTCTTCTATTTGACCCTACTCCAAATTATGTCCAGAGGATTGATGCCCACCTTTGTCTCCGACTCTTCCTGAGGCTCGCCCTTCTTTTTCTTCTTCAAGTGGGATTCCTCCCAGAAAGGTGCCAAATTGTGGTGAAAGTGGAGTTTGGAATCTGCAAACGATATATGGGGGGACAAGCTTCTAGTAGTCCTTTCTAGAACTTGCGATATATTTTCTTCTATGTGACTCTCTGCAAAACGGTATCCAAATGGTTGAAGCCCTCATCTACCTACTCCCTACCCGCCTCTGCCTCCAACTCTTCCTGAAGCTCGCCCTTCTTCTTCTTCGACTTGGGTTCCTCCCAGAATGGATGCAATTTGTGGTG